TCTCTCGTGTGTGTGTGTGTGTGTGTGTGTGTGTGTGTGTGTGTGTGTAACTATTTAGTTCTTTCATGTACTCAGTAGGAACTATTCTTTGTACAAGAAACTTCTCATACCCACCATATTGATTACTTTCAGTGTGCTATCTTACCACTAGATAATCAGTAGTCTCCTACGAATATATCTATAAAAATATTATTCTTCCCATTTTTACAGATAAAGGAAATTCAAATAAGTCAAGCAACTTGCCCAAAGACCCACTTAGTTAGATTTCAAAGATTTCCTTTATCCTCATATTACCTACAGTCTTCTTCATTTAGATGATGACTAATCTGGAAGTCATTTGGAAGTTGTCAATAATTTGGTGACTATAATCTTCAACTTTAGAACTACCAAGTGTAAACTGAAAATAAAACTATGTATTTCTTCTCTGCCTCAGCCATAGCCCACCTTTCTCTCTGGGTTGACTACTTTTAATGGTATATGCACTTACGTCAGTTAAAACTTTGTGAGTTTTAATTCCCATGTAGATGGTAGGAAATACCTTCAATGAATTCAATTCCTCCAAATTAAATTATATGTGTGTATAATTTATAGATATTGAATATATATATATTCAATATCTAACATATAGATCAGAGCAAGTTGTCTAGCCTAAAACTTAGCCTCCTCTGGTGCATTTATTTTCTCTCTTTTTTAGTTCTGATGTACTCATACAAAATGTATAGGCTTTAGATGAGATCCTATAATAAAACAATTATTGTTATAATAACAAAGATTATAGGCCGATGATAATGATAAAAGTTAACATCAATTATATATTAACTACATTTCATAACCTTTGCTTGACTGACTCATTTAATCCTCACAGACAGCTATGAAGAAAATACTATTATTAACTTCTGTAATAGAGTTACAGAAACATTTGGTAGTTAATTAATACTCCAAGTAAGCATCAGAGATAAGATTAGAACTCAGGAAATCAGCAGATTAAGCCATTATTTTTAACAATGATACATGACACAGAGAATATGTGTTGACTAAGAGGAACCATTAGTATTCTGTTGTCAGGCCTGGCATTTTTCTTAACTATATGGAGTAGAACTGTTCATTGTTGGCATTGACTTTTAGAGGAGACAAAGATTATTGCAGGACTGTGTATTTGCAACATCAAAGTAAATTAATAGTAATAGCGTATTTAGTCTAATGGGTGAATGAAATTTTCTAAATTAAAGCATTAGGAAATCAGGAAGAAAAGTAACATTTAATTTGCATCTACTGTGTGCCATGCCTTTTCTTAGATATTTTCACATTTATTATCTCATTCCATCCTCACAACAGTCTGATATGGTGGATGCTATTAACTATGGTTTTACATAAGCAAGTACTGAGGTACTGAGAGAGAACAATTTTCCAAGGTTACACACTAATACATCTAAATATTACTAAATAGAGGGTAATTTATAACTCATTAAGTCACAGTCATGACAGTTCCATCTCAAATGTTTAATTCTTATTATATCCTGTATTTCATTATATTCATTCTGTTTTTCTGAAAAGTTAAATACAAATCAAACTAACAATCCTGTCTTTCCACCCATTCATATTATTTAAAAAATTACCTTATCTTCATTTATTTAAATTTTTAATTTTGCTCATCTGCTCTTCAGCTTTTGAAATTATTTATGATTTATATGCAAAAGTAGCAAGGGAGTCCACCATTTTAGGTTACCACTGCTAAGTTTAAGAATAATTTTGACTCAATATTTACAATTTAATTGCTATGTAAGTGTGGATTTGCATACAATTTGCTGTTTTAAATCATAGGATCACTGTTGTATCATTTAATAGCACTCTGGCAAGTGGAAATAGAACAAAATTGTATATATATATATTAGCAAAAAAGGAAGATAAAATTTCATCATGACCTAAAGGGTTAGAAGATGACCTCCATTATTTTATTTTTAAGAGCCATTTACTGGAACATTTAGCTTTATTTGATCTTCTGTGTTTACCCTAAAGGATTCTTAATCTTTGGAAAAGACTGGAAAACAGTTTCATAACTCTTCTTTAATGAGTTGCAAAGAATCTGCTGCCTCATTAGATAAGGGAGTTTTTTTCTTATTCTTCAGAAGGCATAGAAATTTCTTGAAATTACCTGATGGCTAAAAAGCTTATTTCTTGCATCTTAAACTTGCTTTGGATGTAGAGTACAAACTCCTTAAACTACATAAAGACTATCAGTTAGAGTTAGTTATATTTTCCTGACAAAATGTATTCATTTCCTATTGCCACTGTAACAAATTACCACAAACTTGGCAGTTTAAAACAACAGAAATTTATTCTCTTATAGTTTTGGAGGCCAAAGTGCAAATCAGTTTTACTGAACTAAAGTCAAGGTGTCAACAGGGCTGATTCCTTCCACAGTCTGTAGAAGAAAATTTGCTTCCTGCATCTTCCAGCTTATAGAAGTTGCTGGCATTCCTTCAGTTATGGCAGCATTGCTCAAATCTCTGCTTTTATCATCTCTTTGCCTTGTCTCTCTCTGATCTACTGACTTCTTTTTTTATAAGGACTTCTGTGATGATACAGGGCTCACCAAGATAATTCATCTCAAGATCTTTAACTTAATCACGTCTGCAGAGTTCCTTTTGTTACATACGGTAATATTCATGCATTCTGAGGATTAGGAAGCAGGCATCGTGGTGGAGTAATTCTATTCAGCTTTCCACATATAGAAAATATTACAAATAGGAGAATCAATGGAAGGAAAGATTCTTCTAGTAATTAAGTGAAAACAGAGTAATGAATATTTTTGTCCAAAGCCTTTATAGGGCAATGCCACCCAAGGGACAGTATTCCTTACTTCTTGCTTAAATCTATCATTGTTGTGAACTTGATACTTGCTCTGTTACTGATGCTGTCTGCTCAGTCTCTTGCCAGGGTAGAGACTAAAGTAGAAGACAACTCTGTAGAGTTATAATTCACAGAAAATGATGGGTGAGTGGGAAGCGATGGTTATCTATGAGTGTGATGAGTGGGTAAGAAATTAAACCATAAAAGCAAATGTGAGGAGTTCAGCTAACTCTGCCTTTGCAAATCTCAACTGTTTAGAGTATTAACTATGCCAAAATAAATGTAAACATGTTGTAAAGTCTCATGCTGCAAATATTGGTTACTCTACATTATTTATTTTGTTGGACTTACACTAGTGTGAATACTATTAATTTAAAATACTCTGCCATTACAGTTGACTGACTTATTCATTTTTTCCCTTTAAATCCACTACAAAGAAACCTAAAATAAGACTAGCAGTAACTATGGTATAACAGAGATGCAGAAATAAAGGTCCATCAACTGGAATCTTCTATATATTACGAGGATCCAGTAACTTAGTAGAAAATTGGCCATCAACTACCTTATGTATTTTATTTTCTATTTTGCCTGTCTCAGGACTGAGCATTTCTGCACAAAATCTCAGGATGCTCTATAGCCAAACAATTTGTTAGAAATATCATTCCCTGATCCTGACCATTTTTACCTGAGGGACACTTCACAAGACAGCAAGATTTGCTTAGTAAAGAGCTTCATGCAGAATAAATTTGTCACCTTACACAGTAAATACTGGGAGAAGCGCTGAGAAAACGCAGATTAAAAATAAATGTTTGGAGAATACCTGTAGGTTTAAATTGGTGTGCATTTTTAAAATTTAGCTGACAAGCTGAGAACATGGAGAAAAATCTAATTGTCTTCTCTGAGGACACTGTCTTTTAAAAACTATCCCTATAGCTTATCCTGTCCTCTGTCTGAACTCATTGCTGTAATAAATGCATTGCTGTTTCCAATTTAGTGGAGGCTATTAGTATGCATTATAGTTTCTCTTTTCAAGAACAAAATGTCAATTCTTTAGTTTAAATTAAAATCTTAAAAAAATTTTCTTCAAGCCTTCATCATAAAAAGTGAAAAGTGTTTTTTAATATGTACAGTACCTATAAGAACTATATAGGTTATTCAAATAACATTTTTAAACATAGTCACTCCCCTTTGTGGGTATAGACCCAAAATAATTACATTCAACACAGAAATAAATTAAAGTCCATGTGAAAAGAAAAAAAAGCAAAATTATTCTTGAATAAGTAAAACTTATTTTGGAAGAAATGTTAAAAAAATGTTATGCTTCTTACAGCAATTGGATTTTACAGCAGAGACTATAGAATGTAGAATGTATATTTTCATCAATTAGCAAGGTACAATCTTGAGAAAATGGTCTTATTTGATATTACATATTGCAGAAACTCTTGAAGAAATGGATATCATAAATGTCTTGGTTACTTAGCAACCACTGATGCTTGGAGACAAGTTCGTTTTTGGCCTTGTGTAGGTAGGTCACTAAGTTAGATGAGACGTTTTCACCAGCGCATGGTCTGGCACAGCTAAGAGTATGATGCATATTTTGGGGGAACGACTCTTTGTCTTAATGGTTTAATGTCTTACCCTCTCTTATGAGCAACAATGTTTAGACAAAGTGGCTTATTTCAGAATATAGGATCGAGTCGTGTCGTATTTTACAATAGTCAAGAGTAGAAAAGTACAGGTTCCTTGTTTTATTTGAACCCTTGTTAACCTTTTAATAACCATGTTGCAGGAGACTGTAGACACGCTACCTCTCGTTAACCACTGACAGATGAGAGTTTGCCTATGAACATTAAAATCACTATTCACTGAAGCGATGATCTTCGGATGATGAGTGATGGTTGATGGCCAAAGTGGTGATTATACAGGTTCTTTGTTTATTTTGATTCTTTGATACTTTGAAGAATCAAAATAAACTTATTTTTACATGTGTGTGGAAACATCAGCAGTGGTAGCTAAACAACACAGTAATGAGATGTTGCTGTGTGAGAAGGAAGGGAGTCTGGAGAGGCTGCAGGCAATCGCCGGGAAGGATATAAAAGCCCTCAGACCACAGCCTCACCATCCCTTCACGGCCATCGCTGAGTGTGCACTTGGGCTCCATGTCTCTTCTGGGCTATCCTGGGGATTGCAATGGCAGTGGCACAGCCTACAGAACTCACTGTTACATCCCAGTGACTCCTTCTGTTGGTTTTTGCTCCAGTGATGTAAGCCCTACCTTTGGAGTCTGCTTACCCAGTAGCTACCAAGGAAAACTCTGGCTCCTGAATAACTGCCAAGAAACCTATGGTGACATCCCAAGCTATGAATCTCCCAGCTGTGAGCCCAGGACCTGCACCACAAGTTGGGACTCATCATACTGCTCTGTACCCTGCAACTCTCCAGCAGTGGGCAAGGTATGCATTGCCTGTGAAACTACCAACACCGGACCCAGCCCCAGCTGCAGCCCATGCACTCAGACCAAGGGGTATGTATCCCATTGCTACACACCCAGCCGATGTGCACAGAAAGCCGGCCAGACCCTCAGCAAAGGCTCCCAATGCTCTGGGCAACTTAACTGCTTATCCAAGAGTTTCCCACCTTCATACCACTGCAGACTGGGTAGTTTAGGGTATAGAAGATACCAAAATCTTGGCTTCTCACCAAGTGGCTTCTCATCATCCTGTTATGCTGCCAGCAGCTGCCCATCCTCAAACTATTTAATAAGAAATTGCCAATATTCTCATTATAGGCCCATACATTGCCAACCATTGAGCTGTTTTTCTAGAAACTTCCGGTCTCTGAGCTGCATGTCAAGTACCTTCCCTCCTCTGAGGTATTTATGCAGTGGTTGCAGACCTCTGAATTGCTTCTGATGATGTATCGCATTTAAAGCTGCTGGGAATTGTTTAATAGAGCAGACTCTAATATTCTGCTGAATTACCTCCTGTGTCTAAAGAATCTTGTTAAATTAACCTCAAATATATCTCCAGGACTTATTAACTACACCTGCTAGCTTTTTTTTTTTTCTGTAGCTCCATTAATGGCCTTTGAGTTGAAGGCTGAAAGTCATGTTATTGTTTCTGAGATTTACTGAGATGGGCATACTGAAGAGATTCCACGCAACATACAACCATCACCAGCTTTCTAATTTTTTGCTGTCACCGTCATTTGTCTGCCTATGCAATCATCATCTACTTTTCTTGATGAAGTGGGGCCTGCTTGGTTTGAATGCTATTTCCAGCACACCTTTTTCAGACCATTTTGCTTCCTGTCAAGTTTTGTCAGCTGTTGAACTAGCATCTTGCTAATACACTAAGAGATAACATTCTCTTAAACATATCGACTTAAGCTATTTCATCCTTCCCCTACTGGCTGATTATGGGATGTACAAGCAGCAAAGTCCAATGGGTTCAAAATCAGAAGAACTTCAGCAAATTCTTTCCTTCAAAGAAGCTCTAGAACAGAATGGCCTGACACTCAGCTTTTGTCTTCAGTGCCTAAGAGAGAGCCTTACCAGTAGCAGAAGCACAAAAGTTATTTGTTGAAAGAATGACAAAATACTCTTACAGATTTATCATGAGTAGTGATAATCTCTGTTCAGGATTCTACAATAATTATCCTCTGCTGAATTGTTGCTTTCTGATTCTGGAAAAGGTCCTGATTCATAGTTAATAAACTAATTTCTATTGGTAAAAATGATTTTATTATGTTTTATTTTAGAGTCACTAAAGTTTTATCAGTGTTCTGGCCAACATGCATAGCATTGTCAAAGCACTAGTTTCCTACCATCTAGTTTATATTCTAAATTAAAAATATAAAAAAGGTAGAATGTAAATTCCTAAGACTTTGATTTGTTCTATTTTTAACACGTTAAATGGCATCTGTCTTAGAGTGGTTGTTATTGATATTTACATAGGAAAATTTGGGAAAATTATTTAGAAAATAAATCAATTTAATAAAAATTATATAAAGTATTAAATGTATGTATATTTTCCTGCACAATATGTGCATTTATTGACTTTATAGATAAAGTTTGGGTTTTGAAATAGATTTAGTATTGAATCCTCTGAGAAGTGATTTAACCTCTGTAAAGTTCTCCAAAATAAATAAATACATACATACATACATACATACATACATACATACATACATACATACATAAAATCCTCTAACTCAGGGGTAAAAGTAACATCTATTCTAAAAATTTTTATAATAAGAAGTAAATCATGTTTAAAGTCAGGTAAAATGGTCTCTGGAAATGGATCTAACTGGAGATTGGCAGGATGGGTAGGATCATTAATATCAATAGTCAGTGACTAAAGTTGAAGTATTCATGAAGCATACCAACAGGGCTACCATTTTATTTATTTCTTTAGTAGGTCTACTATGTATAGGAAAGATTTAGAGAAGAAATATTCATTTACTGCTTCTGCTTGAACATGTCTAAGGACAATTAAGTCATTCTTCTGTGAGTTCAAATGTATTCTTTGTATTGAGAAATATTGAATAGTCCTTAGCAATTATCCATTGACCACATAAGACTAGTTTAATTCCTTTAACATAGGACAGGTGTTCAAGTATTTGAAAATAATTACCATGGGTCCCAGGTGAGTATTCAACTATCCAAACTAAATATATGTTTGTGCTCTTTATAAACTTTAATAGAAATCTATTCTTTGAGGTGTTGAATGAGATTCTTTGGGGATATCAATCAAGATTTAAAGATTTTGTTGTCAATAACTAGTCAGAGGACTAAAATCCCGAAACAAACACAATACTGCCTCAATCGTATAAGTACAATATAAAAGGATCAGAGGAAAGATTTTAACTGGAAAAATGAAAGACTACTTGGTGGAAGAAATGACAGTTAAGTGTTGCCTGAGTGGAAAAGTCAGTGGTATATGAGCATGCAATGCTGGAAAAGGGAAGATGGGGATAATAGATAAGTTTGAAAAAAAGGTATATTCAGTTTGACCAAAGGAAAGCAAGCAGAAAATCACCGGCAAAACAGAAAGCGGGCAGGGGAGTGAAATTACTTGGTCATACAATGTGTACATTTTAAATATTCACATATACAGTGGCTCTGTCAATTTCTACTACCACTGTGAATGTGGGTATATATGTATATATGTATGTATGTATATGTGTGTGTGTGTATATATATATATATATATAGAGAGAGAGAGAGAGAGAGAGAGAAAGAGAGAGAGAGAGAGAGAGAGAGAGAATAGAAAACTATAAAAATACAGCCTCAGATGTGTTAGCTTTCGAGGAGTTTTAGGAAGGGTAGTTAATAATTCTCAAAGTGATCTTTTAAATTTAACAGTTCTAATTTGAATCCTCAAGTCATTAAAAAAATAAAAGCGAAGCAAAATAGCAGTACTGAGAAAGAACCTTGGCCCCACTCTATGACCTTGTAGAATCTTTAATCAACAACCTCTCCTATGCTGCTCAGTGAAAATTGTGAACAACAAAGGGAATAGGCATCAGTCCTCTATAGCACATTGGCTTCTAGAAAATCATAGAATATGAAGATTCACATATGTCTCTCCTATTCAGTTTTAATAGGCATAAATATGCTTAATACGTAGCAGACTATGTCCATAGCATCAGTGCAGCTAATTTGTAAATTTCAAAATTTACAAAATTTTACAAAAGACCTAGCAGAAGTCTATTGGAATTTGCCCTTAAAAATACACAAATGAATCACTTCTTTTCCATACATTTCACCGCACAGCTCACCAGCACTTTCTGCCTCCTAAATAAAAAGAAATCATCAATTTTTCCTTTTTCAAAAATTAAACCTACTGATAGATTTAAATATTACTTTCTACAGCTGTGAAACATTTGCAACTTCAAATATAAACAGTCAAGTTTTTTTACACTTATCTCTTCTTTTATATGTAGCAGAGAAAGGACTACAATGAATTTGCATGTACAGCTAATATCTTAAATACTATAAATCAAACAAAACTTAACCCTGGAATTTATTTAATGCATGATCTACTACTGGATGATTAAAGTCTCTATTTTAATTCATATGTCTAAAAATTTATGTTTAGATGACTACCAATTTACTTTATGATGAAGTTTCAAATAGTTGTTAAAACTACTACATTTGGCATGCTATCAAAGGCCTAAATATAATTGCATAATTTTCATGTTTTATTTTCTACCTTGAAACTGTATTATTAGCTAATATCTTTTTGAATCCTTCTTTTGTCTACCATATTAATGTAAACATTAATAGATTTTTAAACTTTTGTTCCATTGAGGTTTTTTAATTGTGTCTTTTCTTTTGAGTTCTGCGCAAAATATCTGTCAAAGTTCTCAATATACAGTTAGTGTACCACACATGATTGGCTTAAGGAAAATGGGTCTTATCATACCAGGAGGCCCTTCATGCATAGCAATATCACCTGACAGTTCAATTAACCATACTGTCACTTTCAATATCATGAGCAAAAGTTTTAAAACCATGTAACTCTATGTTTATTATAACCACCAACACTATACTGTCCATGCTAAAATTTCCACATACACCGGGCCTGCTGAAATCGTAATTCCTAGATTCACTTTAGAAGTAAATCAGAGTTTAAGTGAGTCCTGATCGGATGTGTGTACATGCTATCGCAGAGCTGATAAAATTATCTCTCCGAGTATTCACTGCGCTCACTGTGCTTATTTTATTTGCCTGTTATTTTAACGTGACTGTCAATGAGGGCTCAGTAAATCATGAGCTGAGTATCATCACTGACAGATCAGAGGAGAATGGAAGCTGAGATTTCACCTTCGTTTTTCATGCTTTATAGTCTAGAGTTCTGAATCCTCTGGATGATGCTATTGTTGACCGCTCTCAGTCCAAGGTCTCAGATATAAAAGAGAATATTATTCAAAAGTATGAAGTAATTCCCTTAATTAAGGAAATATATACACATGACTTCCAAATTTATATTTAGATTCTGCTACATAAAAGAATGGTATTAAAGTTTCTTCATCTAAATCCAGAATTTTTTTTTTCAAAAAAGAAAGAATAAAGATTTTAGTCCAGAATTCTTTCTTTTGAGAAATAATTATGATAAAGGTCATTATTATTGGCATTATCTTTACTTTTTACTGTGAACCATTTCTCATCTGGAGCATGAGCACTGAGAATTGAAGATTAAAAATGATACTACCACAGAATCTGCTCTTTCTTACCAATCTACATATTTTCTTAGTTGTCTCTACTAAATAATAGGCTTTTTTGAGCTCTTTTTTTCCCTCAGATTGAGGAACATATTGGATCTCTACTTGGTTCTACAAGAATGTTATGCCATATAAATCTTGAGTCACTCAGGAATATTTATCGGTCAACAGACTTAAAGAAATATAGTAAATGCTTTCTTGATCATGCATTAATTTTGAGCAGCATCATAATTTGCATACTGTAAGTGTAGCAGAGTGTAGTAGAAGAACTTGAGTTTTAACATTGAATCTGCCACTTACAAGTTGTGCAGCTTAAGCTGTCTCTTAACCCTCTGGACCTTTTTAAAGTGAGGGGCTTTCTGAGAATTCAGTGATATAGTACATAAAACACACTTACACGGTGCCTGGGAATAGTGATTGACAAATGGCAATGATTTTTATTATGTAAAAAGCAAAGAAAGCCTCCGAATCACCAAAAGTATATAGAGGTTTCTTTTGCAGATGCTATGATTGAGAACCAGAATCGAAGATTCTAGAACTTGTTAGTTGGGAAGCTTCTTGTTTCAGTCCAGACCTGTCTTTTCCTCACTAGTTCTTGTGGGGAGTGAATTTCCCCTAAATACCCTTCTGACCACTCTTTAATTTCCTACTTCTTCAACCTCTGGGGAGATGCAGTAACCTTTAT